TCCTTAGAACCCGAAAATTGGCAACATCAAAATCGATGTTTCGTGCGAGGCTTCCGTCAATTTTCAGCACATCGCACAAAATGCCACGCCTGCCACGGAATTTGCACCTTGTCGCCACTTGACGCAGCCCTGCCAATGCGATTTGCAAAAAACACGCAACGCGACACGTCTAAAGTGCTGCGCATGCCACGAAAAATGACGATGGACACGCCCAAAGTGCTGCGCCTGCCACGAAAACTGCAACACATCTTCTGAAAACGTCGCAAAAGTATTGCGCCTGCCACGCAAAACGATTTTCAACACGTTGCAAAACATGTCTGAATGTCACGAAGTGCCACGCCTGCCACGCGAAACGAAGCAACGACACGTCTGAAACCTCCAAAAATTACCACCTCTGCAGAACTTCCCATAGGCACGGCCATATGGTCCTCGCGCGGACGGTTGCGGACGGTTGCGAACGGTTGCGACCACAAACGCAACGTCGAGCGAACACACCCTCAACTCCCAGACCCCCAGAGTGAAACGGGAACCCTTGCTACGCATTCGGGAAAAACATGAAAAAATCAAGCTTGCTACCACTAGCTTTCGTGACAAGACATTGTTCAAACCCACTGCCTCTGCCTCGACTGGCTCAGGAGGGCCCTGCAATGAGCACAGGCAAAAAGCAAAATCCTGTGGGCTAAATTATGAAATCTTAATGTTTCATTGCTTCACTCTGACCATTTGCCGCAGCAACACATTCTAATGCATTGTGCTTCAGTGACACTCAGTGACAACAACTGCCGCAATGATGCGGAGCAAAATGTCGTTGAACCATGTTGAACCCTTCCACTCCGCAACACAACTTTTGACTGCTTGGAAAGACCTTGTTCAAACACTGCACCTGCCTCGGCAATCACTTCAGAAAGTGGCAACACCTGCCGGAAGCCAAGCTCTAAGGATGTCAAGGTATGGCATTCAGAAATTCAATGTTTCAACATGTTTCAACATGTTTCAGTGATTTTCAATGATTTTCAATGATTTTCAATGTATGTTTCACTTGCACCAGGTGGCATGTTAAGGTTTCGGGTTCCTTTATGTTCAGCTGGAACTACTGGTTGATAACGAAAGGCCAAGAAAAAAGATGTGGGAGCGGAGAAGGCATAGAAAGCCATGGGCGCTAGCAATGAGAAGGGAGATGTGAAGGGTAGCGTGGAGGAAGGTGGCAAGATGGTCAGAGCAAGGTGGAGTGGAGTGACTAAGTGGGAAGGAGTTGGGTGGATCGCTGGAAGAGATGAATCCATATCAAAGTGTGCATGACAAATTGCGGGTTTGGCACTTGGACTGCTCCACATCCCTTGCTAAAGCAAGAAAAAAACATGAAAAAAATCAAGCTTGCTACCACTAGCTTTCGTGACAAGACATTGTTCAAACCCACTGCCTCTGCCTCGACTTGCTCAGGAGGGCCCTGCAATGAGCACAGGCAGAAAGCAAATCCTGTGGGCTAAATTATGAAATCTTAATGTTTCATTGCTTCACTGTGACCATTCGCCGCATCAACACCTCCAGTGCATTGTGATATTGTGACAGTCAGCGGCAACAACTGCGGCAATGATGAGGGAGCAAAATGTCGTTGAACCATGTTGAACCCTTCCACTTCGCAACACAACTTTTGATTGCTTGGAAAGACCTTGTTCAAACACTGCACCTGCCTCGGCAACTTCAGAAAGTGGCAACACCTGCCGGAAGCCAAGCTCTAAGGATTCCAAGGTATGGCATTCAGAAATTCAATGTTTCAACATGTTTCAATGATTTTCAATGATTTTCAATGATTTTCAATGTATGTTTCACTTGCACCAGGTGGCATGTTAAGGTTTCGGGTTCCTTTATGTTCAGCTGGAACTACTGGTTGATGATGGGCATGAGTTATGAGCAAAATACCATGGGGAAAGGTCCAAACTTGAGCCCTTGAGGGTTGGTAAACAAAAGGCCAAGAAAAAAGATGTGGGAGCGGAGAAGGCATAGAAAGCCATGGGCGCTAGCAATGAGGAGGGAGATGCGAAGGGTAGCGTGGAGGAAGGTGGCAAGATGGTAAGAGCAAGGTGGAGTGGAGTGACTAAGCGGGAAGGAGTTGGGTGGATCACTGGAAGAAATGAATCCATATCAAGGTGTGCATGACAAATTGCGGGTTTGGCACTTGGACTGCTCCACATCCCTTGCGAAAGCAAGGCAGAAAGATGAAAAAAATCAAGCTCGCTATCACTAGCTTTTGTGACAAGACATTGTTCAAACCCACTGCCTCTGCCTCGACTGGCTCAGGAGGGCCCTGCAATGAGCACAGGCAGAAAGCAAAATCCTGTGTGCTAAATTATGAAATCTTAATCTTAATGTTTCATTGCTTCACTCTGACCATTTCCCGCATCAACACCTCCAATGCATTGTGCTTCAGTGACACTCAGTGACAAAAACTCTGGCAATGATGAGGGAGTAAAATGTCGTTGAACCATGTTGAACCATGTTGAACCCTTCCACTTCGCAACACAACTTTTGACTGCTTGGAAAGACCTTGTTCAAACACTGCACCTGCCTCGACAATCACTTCAGAAAGTGGCAACACCTGCCGGAAGCCAAGCTCTAAGGATTTCAAGGTATGGCATTCAGAAATTCAATGTTTCAACATATTTCAACATGTTTCAATGTGTGTTTCACTTGCACCAGATGGCATGTTAAGGTTTCGGGTTCCTTTATGTTCAGCTGGAACTACTGGTTGATGATGGGCATGAGTTATGAGCAAAATACCATGGGGAAAGGTCCAAACTTGAGTCCTTGAGGGTTGGTAAACAAAAGGCCAAGAAAAAAAAGATGTGGGAGCGGAGAAGGCATAGAAAGCCATGGGCGCTAGCAATGAGAAGGGAGATGCGAAGGGTAGCGTGGAGGAAGGTGGCAAGATGGTCAGAGCAAGGTGGAGTGGAGTGACTAAGTGGGAAGGAGTTGGGTGGATCGCTGGAAGAAATGAATCCATATCAAAGTGTGCATGACAAATTGCGGGTTTGGCACTTGGACTGCTCCACATCCCTTGCGAAAGCAAGGCAAAAAGATGAAAAAAATCAAGCTCGCTATCACTAGCTTTTGTGACAAGACATTGTTCAAACCCACTGCCTCTGCCTCGACTGGCTCAGGAGGGCCCTGCAATGAGCACAGGCAGAAAGCAAAATCCTGTGTGCTAAATTATGAATCTGAATGTTTCATTGCTTCACTCTGACCATTTCCCGCATCAACACCTCCAATGCATTGTGCTTCAGTGACACTCAGTGACAAAAACTCTGGCAATGATGAGGGAGTAAAATGTCGTTGAACCATGTTGAACCATGTTGAACCCTTCCACTTCGCAACACAACTTTTGACTGCTTGGAAAGACCTTGTTCAAACACTGCACCTGCCTCGGCAACTTCAGCCCCAGGTGACGCTTCAAATTCCGCCACCTGCAGAAAGAAAGAAAGTGCTTGAAGGATCCGAAGGTATTGCAATGCCAAAACTTGACATTTCGCGATGACCATGCACTGCATCAACGCCTACCAGGCCTACCACCTTTTTCGGGTAGTTTTTTTTCAAATTTGTTTTGATGAGGATGAAACTCCCGCCATATGGTACTGGATGTACTGGTACTAGGCCACTTTGAGACCCAATCATGACTGATCCCAACAAGATCTTTCTCAAATCCACTCTCTCCCCGCCTCCGCCTTGATTACCGCAGGCTTCTTTGCTGAAGCTTGCAACGCATCAAAGTGCGCAATGGCCGCCAGCATCCCCGATCCCGGCGTGTCCTCCTTCGGTTGATCCTTCATCTTCCTGCCCTCCGCCTCCAGTTCGGCCAGGTGTCGCTGCTGCAGCGCCTGGCTTTTGCCATCAACCATCCTCCATCCCAGGAGCCGCGGGTCATCCCGCGAGCGCGCGGTGACGGGGAATCTCATGCCGTACACCGACGCCGCCGTGGCTGAATCCATGGCAGGGATTCAGCGATGTCGCGATGTCAACGTGCTCAGCAGCTGAGCCAAGGTGTCTCCAGGCGACTTTTTTGAGGACAATGATGGACTCCATGTGATGAATCTGAGCCGATAGCCGCCACAACCAAGCTATCATGTCGTAAGGTATCTGCAGGATCTGCCAAGAAATCAGAGAATTCGTGTCAACTTGGAAGCTTGCAGCTCAGAACAGGCTCTGCCAAGAATTGGTTGGGGCCAAGTCAGGTGACAACAACATGCTGAAGTATCATGAAAATTCATGAAATATGTTGAATACTTGATATCGATGAGAGCGACTCAACGGCAATCTTCGGAGCTAAATGACCCAATCCACCCTTGGCATCACAGGTATCTCTTGGATTTTTTTTCGTCAAATTCCGGGAAAGCCCCCAAAAACGGTAGGCTTTCCAGGCCGGCCCTCTGCTGCGATTTTTCGGTTCAAAACGTCCCCCCGGGTAGGGTATGGGTTGAAAAGCTATGTTATGAATCATTCCATGACTTGCAGAAGCTGTGGCAAGCCATCAAATCAATCGAGGCTGCAGCCAGTTAGCCGCAGCGTGCATTTGGGGTGCAGTGGGTCTACTTTACCCAGTGCCAGAAATTCTGGTGCTGGGTAAAGTATACCCACTGCACCCCAAATGCACGCTGCGGCGAACTGGCTGCCTTGGTCTGCGTGTGAAATACCTATAGTTCTTTATACACAATTATACACAGCTAGCAATTACATTCCACTTGAAAAATACAAACATCTGCAAGATTCCTGGACATGATATTGTCTCATTGATGCGGGTGAAACTAAATTGCTAGGCGGCGGTCACTTTTCGCGCCTGGGGAACGTTGGCTTTGACTATGGGCAACTAGCAGGTCACACCACCTTCATCCACCTTCCCTTGCTGCCACAAGATCCATGGCCTTCCCGACAGAATTAGGTGATGATTATATGGTTAATGCAGCTGATCACATTCCCCACCCTTTTAAAAATGTCTAGCTGTCCAGCCCTCAACTGCAGGTCACACCAGCAGCCCAACACCTTCCCGGCTGCCTGCCGCAGCAGCCGATCGCGGAGAGAAAGGCCTTGGATCTTTGGGGCTTTTGTTATGAAGCAAGTTTCCAAACATTATCCGACCGGGTCCCAGCTTATTCTCAAGTGACGCCGAAAAGCCCTTTTGACGGAACTAAAATTTAGTTGCCAAATCCTCACATCCATCGGCAATTTCCGATTGGCACTGCACGCAGTGTCAAGCAAATTGATGTTTCCCAGATCCACAGTTGAAGGACTAGCCGACTAGCCCACCACCAGCTGACTTGGCCCATCCTGACCCTGCCCCTGTCCTGCACAAATTGCGCGATGTCATCCTGAAAGTTCATGTGGAGATGTTTGGGAAATCTGTGGGTGTCATCACCACCAACCAGTTCAGGTTTGACAATTTTGCAACTGGTGGTGAAGACTGGGTCACTAGGTGCATTATGACAACGATGTCTCATCCGATTGCACAATTGAGAAATTATCTTTGTGTCTGCCATGAGTCCAATTTCTTGTGGAACCACTTTACAAAACAAACAGTTGAAAGATGTTGAAAGGCTGTCTCCTCTCTTTTTTTTTGAAATCATGAACAGGGTCCAGGGTGGTGGGACCCTCAAATCGCCATGCGCAACATCCAAGACCCCCTTTTCAAATCTGGCAAGCCTGCGGGGGCTGTTCCTCCTCCCCGTGAGTCTCCGAGGGCTGTTGAAACAGCGATTCTGCCTGCAATGAGCACAGGCAGAAAGCAAAATCCTGAAGATTGTCACACCCTGGGATGAATTATGAAAATATTGATGATCTGGGATGTTTTCTTGCTTCACTCTGACCATTTGCCGCAGCAACACATTCTAATGCATTGTGCTTCAGTGACACTCAGTGACAACAACTGCGGCAATGATGAGGGAGCAAAATGTCGTTGAACCATGTTGAACCATGTTGAACCCTTCCACTTCGCAACGCAACTTTTGACTGCTTGGAAAGACCTTGTTCAAACACTGCACCTGCCTCCGCAATCACTTCAGAAAGTGGCAACACCTGCCGGAAGCCAAGCTCTAAGGATTCCAAGGTATGGCATTCAGAAATTCAATGTTTCAACATGTTTCAATGATTTTCAATGTTTTCAATGTATTAACTTGCACCAGGTGGCATGTTAAGGTTTCGGGTTCCTTTATGTTCAGCTGGAACTACTGGTTGATAACGGGCATGAGTTATGAGTCGAGCAAAATACCATGGAGAAAGGTCCAAACTTGAGTCCTTGAGGGCTGGTAAACAAAAGGCCAAGACAAAAGATGTGGGAGCGGAGAAGGCATAGAAAGCCATGGGCGCTAGCAATGAGAAGGGAGATGCGAAGGGTAACGTGGAGGGAGGTGGCAAGATGGTCAGAGCGAGGTGGAGTGGAGTGACTAAGTGGGAAGGAGTTGGGTGGATCGCTGGAAGAAATGAATCCATATCAAAGTGTGCATGACATATTGCGGGTTTGGCAATGTGACTGCTCCACATCCCTTGCTAAAGCAAGAAAATAACATGAAAAAAATCAAGCTTGCTACCACTAGCTTTCGTGACAAGACATTGTTCAAACCCACTGCCTCTGCCTCGACTGGCTCAGGAGGGCCCTGCAATGAGCACAGGCAGAAAGCAAAAGCCTGTGGGCTAAATTATGAAATCTTAATGTTTCATTGCTTCACTCTGACCATTGCCGCAGCAACACATTCTAATGCATTGTGCTTCAGTGACACTCAGTGACAACAACTGCGGCAATGATGACTTTTGACTGCTTGGAAAGACCTTGTTCAAACAGCGCACCTGCCTCGGCAATCACTTCAGAAAGTGGAAACACCTGATGGTTCCCACTCTGGTAGTCTAGGCAAATCTCTAACCAAATTGTTGCCTAACACTCAAAACCCTAGAGTTTTGAGACAAATCATGTTAAACCTTGCTAGCACATACCATGGCCATAGTTAGATTTGGCATCATTTTGAGATGGATTTGGGTAGGTCCCATCGCAAACTAATGTTGGACAAAGTAGGATCCATCGCAAAAAGTATTTGGACAAAGTAGGATCCATCGCAAATCTAACCTGGTAGAACTCAGGTATGTTCTGTCGCAAAATCATGGGCCTACTCTGATTTCAATAGTTTGTGGGATCCACTGTGGGCTCTGGCATCCGTAATGTAAGTAATCCGGATGGCGGTTCTTCTCTAGTAAATTTAAGAGTAGCGCTACTGTATATATTGGAAGTAACTCTCAAGCCAGGTGCCAAGTTCAGCTTCTTTGACTCACGGTTTTTTCGAAATGGCTCAATGTTAATTGAACAGATCAGCGCCACTAGTATAACATGTGACCCTTGATTACTTTTGAACCCTTGGATGTGAGGAAAAAACCATACTACATGTATCATGTATCTATGTATGTGTATCTATATATCTGTGTGTAATTTCTTAATGGAATCGTTCATAGTTGATATTTCGAGGTGGTTCAAGAACACATGGTGTAAAAGGAGAATATCTTGTGACACTATGGTAGTAAAGCATAGTAAAGCAACAATAAACCACCCATATTTTGATGGTTTATCAGTTTATCCCACAATATCCCACCTATTTGTGGTACAATTGAAGATGGTTTGCTATTGCTTTACTAACATTGAATTAAATCGTCTGAATCAAAATGCGTTTTTTTTGCTCCTGTTAACAGTGGATTGGTCCCAATAGTTGGTTCACAGGAAACTTCAGCAAAAATCCCGCGAACGAGCAGTATGAAGCCCCACGAGCATCAACCCCCAATTTTGCCCAGCGTCAGATCATTCTCTTTCCTGGATGATCAAAGGTGCTTCGAAACTAATTTTCCCTTGTTAAGACCCCCCATGTCTTCCCTTTTTCGCAATCCCAAAAACCGCCAGGCGTCATGCCCTTTTTGGCCGCCTGAAGCATTCCTTCTGGATCTTCTTCCAACAAGACTCGCACCGTGCTGTCGAGCATGTTCTGGAAAATGTAGCTGTACGTTGTGGCCTTGGCGTGGAGAAGTCATCATACTCATCCCTGCCCCCAGGGCCCCACGTCGTCACGTCGAAAAGGGAAAAAAAAAAGGTGTTCGAAAGCTCTAGCTTTGGAAAGGAATGAAATATGACATTTGATTTTCCTGACAAGCCTATTTTAACATATTTAAAACAGAAAAAACATGAAATTCCATGTAACAAATATGAAATCTAGTACCACATAAAAAGTTTATTTGTTCAACCGAAAATGCTCCAAATACGGCCCGACAAAACCTGGCACATCGCCGATTGGTGATGGGGAATGATTTGGGAATGGCTGAGCAATCTGGTGGTGAAAATCATGGCTTTTAAAACCAATCTGGTTGGTGGTTGAGCCCTACCCCCCTGAAAAATATGAGTCAGTTGGGATCATTCTTCCTAATATATGGAAAAATAAAATTCATGTTCCAAACCACCAACCAGCAATTAAACGTCGGGCAAAAATCACCATGTGTGCTAGATAAAGTTACCTTTTTTTACTGCTCGAATCCCCTTTAGGTCGTTAAAATCACCAGCTGGTAAAGTCAACTTACCCTCTGGTAAACTAACATAACTATGGAAAATCACCATTTTTCATGGGAAAATCCACTATAAATGGTGACTTTCCATAGTTATGTTAAATTACCAGAGGGTAAAGTCAACGACCACTGATTTTAAGGGTGCCTTCCCAGCCATGCAATGCAACAAAAACCCTTCAACCTGGCAACCTTCACCAAGCAACAGTGAGCTGCGTGGCTACTTTGTCCGCGCTGGATGTGAACCTCGCCCAGCCAGAAAAATGGGGTGACTTTGGAGTTGACTCCAACCCCCAAAAGTTGGGGAACAACCAACAAAAAAGTGTGGAAAATGGTGACTGGTTGGTGGTTTTAACCATTTTGAAAAATATTAGTCAATGGGAAGGATTATAACATATATTATGGAAAATAAAAAATGTTCCAAACCACCAACCAGTTGAATAATTCAACAGCTATGAAGCATTGGGCGTTTACCATCAGAAAGGGTGACTAAACCTATCAAAACAGAAGTTTTTGTTCATATGGGTATTAACAACAAAAAGGGATTGATTTAAGGGAGCACTTAAGAGGAAATCTCTGGTTTTGACAATCCTATTGATTGGGGGTGTCCTTCATTTTTTCCTTGAACCAAGCCTAAGCGCACTTTGACACTCAAACACCTTCCGAACGAACACAGAAAGGACGGTTGCCTTCCACGGTTTCATTGCCTCACTGTAAACTCCTCTTAAACTACCAGTTTTGGGGCTCATAGCCACTTATCTACGGCCCGGTTGATTCTGTTGGGACACATTGACGAATCCATGGCTAACACCATCGCCACGAATCCGGAAACACCTTAGCCTGCCTTGCCATATTATTGGCATACAGGTTTGCCTGAAACGAGGGTACCTATATCCATTGCCTTATCACCACTATTTCTATGATAATGGGCATTTCAAGGGTATATACGATTATATATGGTATATTGGTATACCACATGTTCAGACACACCCATATCTTCCATGCCAAGGTACTGTCGAAAGAATTTCATTGGCAAAATGCCACTCTTCACATCGCTTCTACGGCCACATGATGAATGCAAGCCTCGTGCCCTTGCGGGATGCGAGTCTATCCCCTTGTGGTTGTACGGGATCCAGCCTTGCAATACATCCACGTTTTGAAAAAAAAAAGGACTCCAGTGGTTGCTGCATGTACCAACTAAGCGGAACCTCAAAGTGGTTGCTGCCACAATGATCCACTGCGCAAAATTTGCCGAACTTCTGACAAGCCACCCGGTTCCTCTGTCACCCAGTTCCACTGTCAATTGGAGCCGTGGGGAATGTCATGTCAATATGCGTTCAAAGGTTAACTATTACAAAAACAGTTCGCTCCTGTGAAGGTTTGTGGCGAATACACTATTTGCCATCACAACCGAACTGCATTCCGCCTT